GTCCTTGGTGAAATCAAAGACTTGTTTTGTGCTATTTTCTAGAAATATCCATTACGTTTCACAAGTAAGACAAAGCTATTTGGAACAGTATTTATTAAGCTAAAATCTGATCTACCAAACCAGGACCTGTTTGTTTCACAAACCTGATCACATGTCTCTTCTGGATAAACATGTAAGGATACAGAAAGCTCAAGCTGAGCAGATTCATGGGCAATACACACTATTGTTTGGACAAAAAAAAAAAGAGAAACCAGGTTAATATTAGCACCCAGGCTGATTTTAACTTGTAGCTCACTGAAAATAAAGCTTTTGTAATGGGAATGTTGATACAATCTTAACTGTAACAGCACAAACACACTACTGAAATACAGTTTTGAGTAAGCTCCATCAAGGAGTGTTTTGTAAATGAATAATGACTTTGCTTAAAGCCAATCAACATCAAGTGTGTTAAAAAAGATGAAATAGTGCTGGAAGGCAGTGGGAGGTAGAGGAGCCTCAAAGTGCAAACAGGTGCTGATCTCCCTTCAGGGGGGATTGAGTGGCACAGACCTTACAGGCCTGTCACTTCTGATCAAAGCAAGCTCCAAGACCACATAATCACCATCACCCACCTTTTAAAGGATGCCCTGATTTATCATCTGTCAGTGTTAATAACTTGGCTACTCTGTCTAAAATACTTAAGAACATTACGCAAGGATAACATTTCAAATTTTTTTAAAGAAATGTGTAAATGTTTTAAACTAAAATGCACTGAAGTTCCTCCTTTGAGGCCATCTGTTGTTGGAGACCACCTGTCATCAAAAGACCACCTGAGCACATAATATCCCATCATTACAGAACTATCCCCTTGAAGCCATGGATTTTAAGTGTTAGAATAAGAAGGGTGTATGTTACAGACATTGTTGTTACTGGGCTTTTCATATAGTTTGAAGCCATGGGATGACAGCCATATGTGAATAATGGCTTCATAATAACATACATATGAAATGCTACTTTGGGAAACATCTGATAAGAGATCTGAACATTCCTTGACCGAGCTCCTCATATCCTTTCAACCATGGTGCTTGCACTGTACTGTTCAAAGTGTCCGAATACATCATACCTAAAACTAAACTGTGAAACTACTGAGCTTAATTTTATTTCTATTTATAAGAAGTATTGGCGTTTCACTGAGAAACAAGACTCGTATTATTGTAAATAGAATTTTGGGATTTTTTTTCTGAATCCCATTTTCCCCTGCTGATTGCATACTCTTACCTCATTAATCTCTCTTCAGTAAACAAAGGTACTCTACCAAGCTACCTTTGCCAAAAAAAGGAACTTTCTGCCTTTCTTCAACCTCGCCCTAACATATGAATCTCTACCTGAATGCGGAGCCATAATCTGCACCATTAAAACCTACAGAGTTTGAGACAATTTGCACCCTCGTGGGTAATCTACAGCTCTGACAGGAGAGAACAGAGCACTCTTGCAGAAGCCTGTGGCAAATATCGGATCCTTGATTTACAGTGTATGTATACACTAACAGAATGAATTTTTTGGAGATATTTTTGTCTGATAAATGCCACTGGACTGTGATAAAATATCCTTTCTAGAAGGACATTCTGGACTTGTTTTAATTTCTCAACAAGTTTGCTATGGAGTGACTGAATTGTTAATACATCCACATATAGACACTTTTCTTAGAAGTCTGCTGATAAGCAAATACCCAATAGGCCTTGACAGTACTTAGAAAAAAATCCTCTAAAATTCAAAAATAAAAATACAAACATGATTTTACTGAAATATAAAATTACTGTGAAAAGTAAAGAAGTTTAATATAGAATGGTTTTGTGATATATTCTTAAAGACTTTTTTGGTTTATTATTATTTTTGTTGTGATTATCATTTAACTAATATGCAACCTTCTAAGACAAGAATAAAATTCTCTGTTAAATTATTAATAATGCTATATTAAATCACAGAAATGTATACAACCTTCCCTTAACAGGTGTAAGCTTCCAATTCCTTAAGTAACAACTTCAATATTAAGCTGTTAAGACTGTTACGAGTTATGGGACAGTAAGAAGTACAACTTCTGAATTAATTCACTCTTAAGATGCCCTTAAAGACAATCATCATACTCTGCTGCATTTACAATGCATGAGTCCTGATATCATGAAATCATCATTATATACTCGAAGAACCTAGTTTGCTTACCAGTAAAAAAAATTAAACTCATTATTCCTGAATAACTGCAAAGCTGAAACAGAATCTAAATACTTATTTTACAGTTTAGCAAGAATCTATTTGTAACATAATGCATCTAGCTAAGCATTCATATCTGGCATTTACATAGAAGAACTTGCAGCTCTGCTCTGGTGACGGTGAAGGGCCTAAGCTGACAACTGATTAAACTCAGAACGGCAGCAGAAATTCAGCCACTGCTGAACATTTTTCTTCATTTTTTTTTCTCTTCCAGAATCCTAGTAGCAGACTGTAAAAATACACGATCAATAATGAAAGCAAATAATTTTCTATAGTCTACAAAAACAGTGAGATGTTTATTTCAGTGGCTAATGTATTTTAGAGTGAAGCCTGAAACCATTCCCTAAACAAATCTGTCACTAGTAAAACCAGCACTAACCTTTACGTCAGAGATGAAATTTGTGTGAAGCAGATACGTTACTGGCAAGGTGACACACATAATAACAAAACACATATTTGAAGGATTCCTGTAGCAATTTGCAATACACACAGGCTATTTTAAAACTTTGTATTTCTTAGGATCTAATGTAATTGATCTTAACTAGAATGTATACAGATGCAAAGGCATTAATTCAGTAGTTTCAGAAGTGGATTTGTCTGGTGCAATGTCCTACTTTGGCTCCAGCAGGGTGTGCTCTGACAGGATTAACTTCCAGGGCATCTAAAAGCCGTGTATCAAACAGTGGCACATAGGCACAAAGGAAGAAAAATATATTTCCTCTTCCCCCAAAAGAACAGGTTTATATTGAAAGCTGCTTTGTATATGTGCATTTTAGACATAAAGGTGATTAATAATATCTGCAACATAATTTTTGTCATTCAAGTTCCTAGTTGTTGCTAGAAACATTTAAAAAGACTACAAGAAGACAAAAATTTATCTGTCACACTGCACAGATAAATTGAAAAACCAGACCACTAAAAAAGATCCTTTTGTTATAAAGTTCCTAGCCACAAGATGAGTGTCACAGGGATCCTCACTCTACCAAGGTCCATAAAGACCTCTCTTCTTCCTGTTAGGAGATACCTGATAATGCGTTTTCTAGAACAGCCCGTGTGAGAAAGTGAGGTTATATTACTATCTCACCAGGTGATCACACAGCCTGTTAGTTAACTGCATGGAAAACTCCAGGTTAATACAAAATCATGCTTCACTAAAAACTTTTTTTTTCAAAATGTATTCATGATTTTAGCTTTATCAGATGCCTTTCCTAAAGTAGTATTCAAGCTCTGTATTTATATTTTCCCACTTCTCCCATTCTTCCTGAAGTCTTCTCCCAAATAATAGTGATACTTCAGCAGTGTTCGAAGGAGGGAAAAAAAATCCCTGAAGAGTAGAGACTGAATTGTATTCAAACTGCGCTGAAGTGAGCCAGCTATCTTTAACATGCTGAGCATATCCTATGCAAATTTTAAAGGGGTGTTAACCAAGGATCATTGTTGTAATCTCAGTGCTTTGTAAACATGGTACTACTCTACATCACTGCAGCTTTTTTACATCACTAAAGCTTCTTCCCATTCAGTTTTCTCAGTTGCAGAGGCTCACAGAGAGAGGCAACTTCAAAATCCATTCAATTCCAACTTGCAATTTCTTTTGAGTAAATTATTCTATCTGTTTATACTTGCAGGCAAGTATAACAACAACTATTATATTCAAAGTGTGCTTTTATCAAATAATTGAGAAAACAAGTTTATTAACCACAAAGCACATCAGAGAATGTTTAGAACACACAAAATTATCAAACTAAAGAACATATTTTATTTTTAATAAAATAGTGGAGCATGAAAAATAATTGTATATTACAAATATATACAGCACAAAACTGTGCACCCCCAGCACAGTAAAGAGCATCACTTTATACAAAGCTTCCCTTTGCAGAATCTAGTGCTTCTTGATCTATTCATAGTGAGAATTTGTTTAACAATAGAAAGAGTCAATAAGCCCTTTGGGTCTCTTTGAATTGATCCCCCCCTTTTTTTTTGCACAAATCAGTCCAAACGTGTATAACATTGGCTTGATTTCCATTAAAAAGCCACAAAATGTAACACTAAAGGGTTTCTGAGGACTAGACCTCTTAGTTCTTTTGTTAAGAGATTTCTTTTGTTGTCTTTATGTACAGCAAAATACTTGTTTCTCTTTTCATGTCATGGTAAGAAAAAAAATGTATTGCACATTATTCTTATTCACAAAGTTTGTGTCTGGTGCAGGAAGTTTCTCTTTTAGTGAAAGAATATTGGTAAGCATTATAGATTGAACCTATTTTTAGGCACTCCAAACCCACTAGGCTGAGATGAGTTGTAAAGGATTTCTCTCTCTCTCTGTCTCTTTTTAATAAAAAGTTAGCACGGAAGTTGCTTTCACAGATAGCATCCTTACTGAGGATAGGCCTCTTTGGGCCCTTAGTTTCCCTAAAGAGACAATGCTCACTTGGGCCCTTTTAAAATCAAATCATTGCTCCATAAAACTTGACCATACCTTGTTACTCAGAAACCTGTAGGAAATCCAGCTCAGCTACATGAAAAAGTTAAATAGGGTGTTGGGTTTTGGTGCTTTTTTGAAAAATAAATCTGAGGCCTGGATGAAGTTCTTAACTACAAATTAGTAACAGAAGAGACTGTTTTAATTCACAATACTTCTTCCACTGAAAACCTTTCCATAAGTACATTTACCTTCAGTTTTTCACCAGGTCCTGAATTCAGCGTGATACATTTTTTGCCTTGAGATATTAAACCGTTCTGACAAAAAAAAAATTTTTTAATTTTTGACCGCTACTGTTGACATTTGTAAGTCTGTAAGGTGAGATATAGTCTTTTCTAAAACCTGGTCACACACAAGTGGGTGGCTGTAATGTTGATTCGTATTTTGCAAGGTGAGTTTTCTGTGGATGTTGAGGTTTTTTGTAGATTCCGCTACTTGTAATAACACTCGCAGGTTTTCTCCTGCTTCTCTTCTTCAATCTTCGACTACAAACATTTTGCCAGGACTGAAGAGTCTTGGAAGTCCAGATCCACATACCACTAGTAATGCCCACAACTAATAACATAAAAATTTTGACCATAAAAATTTCTACTGCTGGAATAGAGTTATTCATCATGCAGTCTAAATTTTTAGTCTGATTGTTCATCTTGCATTTCTGTTGAGTTGCCACAATTTTCCAATAATCCATATTAAGTCTTTCATAAAAATAGCAAGCTATCACACAAGTTGCAGGCACTGTATACAAGACTGAGAAGACGCCAATCCTGACCATAAGTTTCTCCAACTTGTCAGTATTTTCTCCACCTGTTTTCATCACCCTCCTGATATGAAATAGGGCCACAAAACCAGAAAGAATAAAAGAAGTGCCAATGATTAGATAACAAGCCAAAGGAATGAGTACAAACCCCGTCAAGGCATTCACATCCATGCTTCCAACATAGCACAACCCTGTCAGCTCATCTCCAGCCACCCTTCTCATAACTAGGATCATTATGGTCTTCACAGCCGGAATGGCCCACGCTGCCAAATGGAAGTAGCTACTGTTTGCTTCAATTGCTTCATGCCCCCATTTTTTCCCAGCTGCTAGAAACCACGTTAAAGTCAAGATTACCCACCACAAGGAACTTGCCATACCAAAGTAATACAGAACCAGGAACACAATGGTGCAGCCAGTGCTCTCCAGTCCTTCCTGGATGACATAGAGTTGGCCACTGTCCCTATCACAGGCAATACTTTCAGCACCCGAAAAGAGGCGAATAATGTACCCCACTGAGTAGACACAGTAGCACATGGAGAGGAAGATAATGGGCCGCTCGGGGTACTTGAAACGCTGAGGATCTATCAGAAAAGTGAGTACGGTGAAAGCACTGGAGAAGAAGCACAGAATGGACCAGATGGCAATCCAAATGACAGCAAATTGTTTGTCATCCTTGCTCCAGTACACGTCAACCCCTGGAGTGCAGAGCGGTGCGCAGGAAGCGCTCTTTTCCACATGGTGGAACTTGCCAGGATTTTCACAGGAGGTTCTGCTGAGGCTGTCCTTATGCTGCTGCAGATCGTGGCCACTGCTGGGCCGCTGTGGACGAAACATGGGTGGCAGCATGCTGGACCCTCGGGGTGGCTCATCTGACCCGTTGTTGGGGGCTTCCATGCACAGGTAATTGGGGTCATTCTTGTTGGGCAGTTTGCTGCAGTCCAGAGAGTCTGGCCACTTAAAATTGAACTGCTCCATAATAGGAGAGCATTTCAGCCTCGCCTGCTCGCACATGACCCTGCAGGCTGGGATCGGTGTGGAAACCTGCTCCGTGCACATCGGGGCGTAGAGGGAGCAGAGGAAAAATTTCAGATGGCTGTGGCAACCGTACTCCACCAAGGGGGCAAACTCGTGCAGCTGAATGGCAGCTTCCCTTTGGTTTTCGTGTCCCATCAGGTTCGGCATCCTCGTCATGTTGTACCCTATATCCTTGCACATGGGGATTTCTATGGGCTGGCACCTCCCGTCGCCGGGGCGGTCAATGTCTATGGAGCTTATCCCCGCGCAGAAGCCGGTCAGGCAGCAGAGCAGCGGCAGCAGCCTCCGCACCAAGTTCCTCGGCGCTGGCCCC